TAGCTCAGCCTGTTGTATAGATTACATTGGCAGCTGCATGGGTTACTGTAAAAATCGCCGTATTAGCTTCGTTGAGGCTGATTGCTGGTTCACACTGGCTTGATAAACTAGTTTTATTCCACTAACGTTTCGACGTATTCGTTTTCACATTGCTCTCTCGATAATGCCCTTCGAGCATACCTCATTCGTGCGGTGTTCCGCCGATGAAGATCCGTCTCGGTTCGATGACGGAGACGCCAGATCGAGATGACGAACAACTGTGGACCACCGACTCGGATCAGTGGCTCTGATGAAAAGAAAGACGTGAGAACGTTAAGCGAATACATCTGCTTGTCAACGCCGTGTAAGCTCACCAATTTGAAAACGTAGTTTGAATTAAGAAGGAAAGCTTTAGCTGTTCCATTCACAATCTGGAAAGCTTGTTTGAATGTGCATCCATTTTTTGAAAAACAGAGATAGATCGTCTAACAGATGAATGAAATAAACATTCTTTGGCTTGTAATTATTAAATCCAGCTTCTTTACAATACTTATAATATTTGATAATGCCTTCTTAGGATTCGGGTGTGGATCTGTCAATTCGTCATTTTTCGTCGCTTGACCAATCCTCAGCTCAAGCCCCACCACCGAAATAGTTCCCGACTTGGAAAACTTAGTCGTAGAAGACCTCTCTCCTGTGTGCTAAAACCTGCAATGCGTTGTGTTGAAACATTGAAAATGTGTTACAACTGCTCTCTCACAAGCTCAGAGAAAAACAAAGCGTACATTTGATTATAGTTTAATTTTCGGCAATTTTAAAAAATTCTATAATAAGCATATGCATATTTGTTCTTGCGGTTTGCACTTTTTTACTTGATGCGAGGTTGTTCAAGACGTTCCTATTGTTGTTGTTGTCTTTGCTCAATGGCTGAGGTAACGATTCCTTCCTCAGAGCCTAGCCGTTGTGCCATCCGTTTGTTGTTCACAAGTGAAAATGAGTCACTCTCAGTGGTCCGCCGCAGGTTTCACTCAACGTTTTTATCCAAATATGCTTATTTGTAGCATGATCTGTGCTCTGGTGTTTAGATGGAAGTAGAAAAAACATAGCCCTCGACAATTTTTAGGCGATTCCAAACTTGAACATGCAAAAGATCGAGTACATCAAACAAGGAATTATGCAGATTCAGGAGGTTCTTACAACGGCGAACAAAGTTTAGTTGCTTATGGGTTGATATTTTCCATTGCAACATGTCGTTACCCCATCGAGGCTAAAACATTTTTCATTGTCTGCATCTGCGACGTTGTACAGCGGAGGGTCATGCATTTAGTATCGCAGCCTAAGATTGAGGATAGTTAGCCAGTTCCATCCACAAGCCTTTCTAGGAGTAGTCTAAACAAAGTCAGAGGGTAACAGGCAATTTTGACTACGAGGCCAGCAAATTTTCGCTCACGAAGCTCCGCCTTACAAGCTTATATGCCACTCATCATCACGAGAAATGGAGCATGTAAAACAGTTGAATTTAAATGATAAAGCGTGTCCTCTCATTACTCGCTTTGTTTGTGTTGTTCAACTTCCAAACAGATGGCCAGTACTACGACGGTTATCCATCTTATGGCTACAAATTTAACCAACACGGCTGCTCTAATCCATACGGCGGATACAATCTACACGGAGGCTTCGGCAATGCTTCTAATCTATTCGGAGGCGCAAATGCTTTGGCCACCGATGGAAATGGCCTAGGTAACTGCTTCACCAAGACCTTTGGCAACCGCACTTTTCCAAGTACACAAGATTGGTCATATTAATCTTCAGTTTCGATTTTTACCACATATTTCTCTAATCCTTTACAGGCTCGTGGCAAAGTGCTTTAACAGGAGCAGCGATTGGGGGATTGCTTGCGGCAGCTCTTGGGAAGAAGTGAAGCATGGTGATTCAAGCAAGTTTGTAAGAAGTGGAATGAGTTTGTGCTTAATTATTTTGTTAATCATCCGTAATTTATTCAGTGTTGATCATATGTGATCGTTCTAATAAAGTTCCTCCTATCCCAGACGTGCTCTGTTTCTTCTCCAATAACGCGAGAAGTTGATTACCGCCTGTTCGTTGTAATCGCGCGGCGTTATAGTCTGCTAACAAATAAACTGAATTTCTTAACTAAAGCATTTAATTCACAGCTGTTTAATTCCTGGAATTCTTCTTGCCATCGATAATGCCAGGATCTAGCACCTTCTATGGCGAGTTAACAACTAAAGAAGCTACGACAAAATGGGAAAGGTACTCGATCGAGTCATACTAGGAAAAGAGCACGATGTATTTTTCGACTTTGAGCTTCATGTATTCCATCAAATTTTAAGCCGAATAGGCGTCCTTTCATAGTCATCTCAAATTTTTCGCTAGTAACCTCAGCATTCAGTCACCATAACTCTATACGACTTCCATTCGATTATCCAATTTTGTTGAAGAACTATATTCATATATCTTAACCCTTTTTATTTACTGCCTTTTTCTTCTTAATGGCAGGGTATGTTGCGAAATATAACTCGTATGAAATGCTGAGATATTTGCAAAACTCCGGACCNGGTCCGGAGTTTTGCAAATATCTCAGCATTTCATACGAGTTATATTCATATACTTGCTTGGCCCGCCTTCACACGCAAAGCAGCAAAACGAATGTTGCCCAACCGCCACTGGCGGATGTAGTTCGATTCGGATGGAAAATTCGGCTACGACGTGTTTGCGAACTTCTTTCTCACTGGCTTAGGAAATGCTCCTCGAGCGTGTTTTGTCTGGGAGTGGGGAAATAGGCATAACTGAGCACCTTGCTATATTCCGTACATACTGTTCACGGCGTCTTTGAATAGAGGAAACTTCGCTACTCTATGATTCGGATCATGGTAGAACCTCAGAGAGTCCTGATATGGTAGCAAACTCCTCTCGATCAGTGAGCCAATTGCTCATGGCCGATGGAATAGGCCGAATTCATCTAGAGGGCCATTTCACATAAATACCTGAAGCACTGCATATAACCATTAGGGCTACGGGAGTCAATCACTCTGTAATGCCCAGTTTAAACCCTTAAAATGAATTTGTGGCGTCTTCTGCATACCATATTTTCTCCTGAGCGGTAACGTCACTTTTGCTGTGTGACGAAGAATGACACAAACTGGATTCTTTCCACTCAAAAAAACCATTGACCGAACTGATGATAAGAATGTTCCAGAGTGCTATCATTTGCACATATAAAGTGGTGAATAGTAACAACGAATTTATGGAATTGATAGAGCTCATGAAGCTACGGGCGCTGGTGTTTGAATCACCCAGCTTTCTACATACGAGGATACAACGCAAACATGGAGCAGCCAATAAATCCGAGGGTTGAAAGGGATCACATTAGGCCAGCGATTTCGCTTGAAGTGCGACTTTCACTGTCACCCAATTAGTAAGAACTTCCTAAACTTGAACTTTTGAATTTTAGGACGGTAATTGCTTAAAAGTGCGGGTGATACGGGAAATACAGTGTTCCAAACATTGTTTCAAACTAATGGTTATATGCAATGCTTCAGGTATTTATGTGAAATGGCNCTCTAGATGAATTCGGCCTATTCCATCGGCCATGAGCAATTGGCTCACTGATCGAGAGGAGTTTGCTACCATATCAGGACTCTCTGAGGTTCTACCATGATCCGAATCATAGAGTAGCGAAGTTTCCTCTATTCAAAGGCGCCGTGAACAGTATGTACGGAATATAGCAACGTGCTCAGTTATGCCTATTTCCCCACTCCCGGACAAATCACGCTCGAGGAGCATTTCCTAAGCCAGTGAGAAAGAAGTTCGCAAACACGTCGTAGCCGAATTTTCCATCCGAATCGAACTACATCCGCCAGTGGCGGTTGGGCAACATTCGTTTTGCTGCTTTGCGTGTGAAAGCGGGTCAAGCAAGTATATGAATATAACTCGTATGAAATGCTGAGATATTTGCAAAACTCCGGACCGATAGAACTGGCTGAAAGACAGGCAAGACGAAAGACACGGATGGTGTGGTGGTGAAGTGCGCTGTTCCCCGGTAAGGACAACAGCGCGTGTTCGTTCCCCACTGCATACACTTGTGGTCCGGAGTTTTGCAAATATCTCAGCATTTCATACGAGTTATATTTCGCAACATACCCTGCCATTAAGAAGAAAAAGGCAGTAAATAAAAAGGGTTAAGATATATGAATATAGTTCTTCAACAAAATTGGATAATCGAATGGAAGTCGTATAGAGTTATGGTGACTGAATGCTGAGGTTACTAGCGAAAAATTTGAGATGACTATGAAAGGACGCCTATTCGGCTTAAAATTTGATGGAATACATGAAGCTCAAAGTCGAAAAATACATCGTGCTCTTTTCCTAGTATGACTCGATCGAGTACCTTTCCCATTTTGTCGTAGCTTCTTTAGTTGTTAACTCGCCATAGAAGGTGCTACATCCTGGCATTATCGATGGCAAGAAGAATTCCAGGAATTAAACAGCTGTGAATTAAATGCTTTAGTTAAGAAATTCAGTTTATTTGTTAGCAGACTATAACGCCGCGCGATTACAACGAACAGGCGGTAATCAACTTCTCGCGTTATTGGAGAAGAAACAGAGCACGTCTGGGATAGGAGGAACTTTATTAGAACGATCACATATGATCAACACTGAATAAATTACGGATGACTAACAAAATAATTAAGCACGAAGTCATTCCACTTCTTACAAACTTGCTTGAATCACCATGCTTCACTTCTTCCCGAGAGCTGCCGCAAGCAATCCCCCAACCGCTGCTCCTGTTAAAGCACTTTGCCACGAGCCTGTAAACGATTAGAGAAATATGTGGTAAAAAGCGAAATTTAAGATTAACATGACCAACCTTGCGTACTTTGAGAAGTGCGGTTGCCAAAAGTCTTGGTCAGCCAGTAAACTAGGCCATCCCCTTCGGTGGGCGAAGGTGTGGTGTAAATGGCGCCTCCGAATGGATTAGCAGCACTGCCGAAGCCTCCGTGTGGATTGTATCCGCCGTATGGATTAGAACCGCCGTATGGATTAGAACCGCTGTATGGATTAAAACCGCCGTATGGATAAAAGCCGCCGTATGGATTAAAACCGCCGTATGGGTTAAATCCGTAGCGATAAGATGGATAGCCACCGTAGTACTGGCCATCTGTTTGGACGATGAACAACACAAACACAGCAAATAATGAGAGAAGACGTTTCATCATTTAAATTCGACTGTTTTACAAGTTGTCTCCTTCACGATGATGACTGGTATATAAACATGTAAGGCGGAGCTTCGTTTTCCGAAGAAAAAAAACGATGAATGAATCAGGCGTTCTCTCATTCGTCATCGAAACGAATACTACTTTGAAATATCAACCTTTCATTTTGCCGCCAGTTACAATTTTCATGGCAGGTTACTATGCGTGACTCAACCACAGTGATGCTGAGATATTTGCAAAATTCGGAACTGCAGGTGCTTCAGTGGGGAACAAACGCTCTGTTATCCTTTCCTGGGGCCAACGCGTTCACCACCACGCCATGTGGATCCTTCGTTTAGCCTGTCTCTCAGCTAGTTCCATCGACCAGGACGTCAGTAACGACCTGGCAACAAGATTGACTTTGAATACTTTGGAAGTTTGCTGAATTAGGCAATGAAATCGTTTGAGCCTCATAGGATTTCATGCTGCGGCATGCAAAACACACTGTGCACTCTCGAAAATAATATGCGCCTCTTGCATTTTTTATATGGTCTCTTTTAAAAAATATTGCGCGGATGCCAGCATTTTCTCCTTTCAATCAGTTTCTTGGCTTCTACCATCCACGATGATTGGAGAAGTTTTACAAAGAAGACCTCATACTCTTTGTGATAGCCATTGTAGATTTCAGTGGCAATTCACAATTCCAGAAACCTTGCTCTTAACGCTTGACGCGGGACTCGCCCGTGTAGAGCACTGCAAGGAGTGAGAAGACGTTATATGAAAGAAAGAATTTCCGTAGCCAAATTCGCTGTTGCTGCAAAATTCTAAACTGAGTCGGACCTTCGTCTCCTTGTCACAGGATTCCACTTCTTGCGGAAAGCAGATAAAGCTACTGAGTTTCAAAACTATCCTACACT